TGAAAATGACCACTCTACCAAAAGCTATTTACAGCTTCAATGAAATCTCAATCAAAATCTTATCTCATTCTTCTCAGAAGTAGAAAAAAACTATTCTAAAATTCATATGAAACAACAAAAGACCAAAGAAAGCCAAAAACAATCCTGAGTCTCCCTGCCCACCCCCACAAATGCAGCAGGGATTAACATTGCAGATCTTAAAAGATATTGTAACAAAAATTAATATGGTTCTGGCACCAAAACAGACATATAGATCAATGGAACAAAAATCAAAGACCCAACTTTGGTCACTTAATGTTTGACGATGAGGCCAAATACATCTCATTGGAAGAAAGAAAGCATCTTCAACAAATGGTTCTGGAAAAACTGGATGTCCCCATAAAGAATGCAATCAGACCCATCTCTATCACCTTGCACAAAAACTAACTCCAAATGGATTAAGGACCTAAACCTGAAGCACTGAAATTGCTAGAAGAAAACGTGGGCAGTAGCCTACATGATACAGGTGCAGGAAATGACTTCCCGGATAGTATTCCGCTTGCCTGAGCAATAAGGCCAAAAACTGAGTAGTGGGATCTCATGAAACTTAAAAGTTTCTGCACAGCTGAAGAAACAGTCAATTAGGCCAGTTCCTGGGATCCCAGAGTGAGCCTGATCAGAGTCCATCCTGGTCAGTATTTAATTAAAGCTTGCTTCAAATTTGGCTCAAAGAAAAAAGAAGAAAGAAAAGAAAAAGAAAGAAACAATCAACCAAGTGAGGACCCAGCAATCATGATAAACTGGGCAGGGAAAAGGCCAGGAGGCCTCAGCCCTCCACAAAGAACTACAGCAACTGAGTGAGCTGGGAGGAGCTGGGCCTCCCTAGGGAAGGGCACTCCAATTTGATGTCCGGTGCCAAAGCACCAGGCCTAAAAACATACATACAAGTATCATTATACGGACTTAAAAGGTTATATTTAGAAACATATATGTATATACAAGTACATATATGCATACAATAACAATTAATAAAAAAAGAAGTTGTGACTTTGAATGAGAGTGGGGAGGAGTATATTGGAGAGTGGAAAGGGAAGGGAGAAATGTAAAACTACTCACTCAAGAACAAACAAACAAAAAAACCAAAGTAAAGTTAGGGTGAGAGTGCCCTCTGATCTCCACGTGTCTGCCAAGACACATTCCTGTGCCCTTTTTGAGTTTTCTATAGGTTTTGGTCGTATCCCTTTCTTTGGTTTCTAAGGGGTTGCTTTAGAATTGTACTGTGTGCTTAACGCAGCAAAGCCTCTTGGAGACAACACTTTGCAGGTGGAATGAGAAAGATTTCATCTCCCCTTTTCCTCATTCCTGACATAACTATGTTCAGGTGTCTCCATCTCTCCGCTTCCTGATGTCTTCATCATGTTCAGGTGTCTTCTACTCCCCCTTCCTGATGTTACTTTGGGTGTCTTCTTCCCTCTTCCTGATGTCACTATGTTCAGGTGTCTTCCACCCCCCTTCCTGATGTCACTGTGTTTGGGTGTCTCCTACTCCCATTCCTAATGTCACTGTGTTTAGCTGTTGTCTCCTCCTTGTAATTGAGACCCACAACAGGCACTGTAATACTTTTGCTTCACTTAGAAAACAAAGTTTAGAAAACAGAAGGGGAGGAAAGTCTATTTGTTCTTTCTTCCTAATAGCTATTTAAGACACAATTGCTGAGGCTGGAGAGATGGTTCGGTGATTAAGAGCACTTAATGTTCTTGTAGAGACATCTGACAACCTTTTGTAGCTCCAGTTCCAAGAGATCCAACACTCTCTCCTGGTCTCCTCAGGTACCAAGCATTCACATGGTGCACAGACATACATGCATGCAAACACCTATACACATAAAACAAAAATAAATAAATATAAAATTAAAAAACCCACAAATGTCCATTTTTTGTATTCAGGGATTATTAGCAGTAAGATGTTTTTATAATTAATTTTCTAGGTTAGCATACAAACAATTGAGTTTCACATTTTTCACCTCTTTTACACTAGTTTTAAACAGACTGTAATGATGTCCTTTAGTGATGCTTCATGCTTCTTGTACTTGCTACTTCTCCAAGTCCTTGGCTGCTTGGCTCTTATGATGTTAAATGAACCTATAAGTTCATCTATTACACTTGGCTCCTAGTTGGTGGCACTATTTGGAGCAATTTAGAACCTTTCAGAGGTGGGGTCACCTAACTGGAGGAAGTGGGGACCCTGGGGACAGGCCTGAGGGTCACAGCCTAGAAGCAGCTTCCATGCACCCTGCAGTCATGCTTTTGCCATCATGATGGGCTGTAGGCCCTGAACGTATGAGCCAAATGCACCTCTCCTCCCCCAAGTCAGGTAGCTGGTCATACTGATTAGGAAAATCACGAATACAGTGGGTTTACAGAGTTGAACAAATCTGCAAATTTTCAGCTAGTGTTTCTTCAAGCACATATGATTCATCTCCCTTGACTGTTTTAGAGACTCTAATTACATGTCCACTAATCTGTCCACGGTGCCTGGAGCTCAGCTTCCTCCCCATGCTGACAGCTGGTCCTTGTGTTTTGCACTGGATTCAGCTCCTACTTTTAGGTCTGTATGTTCACTAACTCTATCTTTTGCAAGCTATGCCAGACTTTTGGGGTTTTTTGTTTGTTTGTTTTTGTTTGATACAGGGTCTCACTATATAGTCCAGGCTAGCCTCTAATTTACAATCCTCCTGCCTCAGTCTCTTGAGTGCTGGGATTACAAGTGTGTACCACCACATCCAGTGATTTAATAAACTTTTGAAACTGAGGTTTCCTAATGCTGATTACAGGCAATGAAAAGGTGGCATCAGATAACAACATCGGTAATATGACCTCCTAAATCCAATGAGTAAGGACACTGATAGTAGTATTGCTTATAATAGAAATGTGTCACTTGCAGGGGCTCGGTATGTAGATTGCTTGTCAAAGGCAAACCGATGATCATGTATCAAAAGATGTCTGGAGGGATGGCTAAGTAATTGGCCGAATGCAGTCAGCTCTCTGGATCTACAATCACAGACTCAACCAACTGTAGATGAAAAAATATGAAGTCAGGTATGGTAGCATATACCTTTTATCCCAGCATTTGGGAAGCAGAGGCAGGTGGATCTCCAGGCCAGCCTGGTCTACATACCAAGTTACTGGACAGCCAGGTTTATAGAGTGAGACTTTGTCTCGACCAAGAAAAAAATTGGCATGTGAAATATATACTTATAATATATGTGTGAAATAATATGTATTCATGTTATGTATACAAAGAAAAGTGTATCTGTACTGAACACTTCTGTACGGTTATGATTATCTGAGCAAAATAGTGTACCAATTATTCATACATCATCTGCAATGTTCTAGGTATCTACAGTAACCTAGATATGATTTAAAGTACACAGGGGAATGTCCGCAGACTGAAAGATCACACATTTATACACCAGCTCTGAGCATCTGTGGATCTGGGGAATGAGTCCCTAGGTGGCATCCTAGCATTAGTTCAGTGTCCCTTTGAACCATGACTCGAGCTCCACTAACCTCTTTGGGGTGCTGGTCATTATCATTTGTGACTCTCAGAGCTTCCGAAGAGTTGGCCACATTCACACTCCACCTGCAAGTGTTTAGACAGATACCACACTGGGCACCAGAAGCATCCCTAATCATGTGGGCGCTTTTTAACAAAGTGGGAGGTGTTTCTAATCTAGTGACAAAGGAGACTCCAGAATGACTTTGTGATTTCAAATAGACACGGATATAAAGTTGTGCGGTGGTGTGTGTGACAAAGGACAGAGGTCACTGCAGTGCTAGACGCTAGAGAGTGGAGGGGAAGGGAGTGGAGGGAGTAGAAGTTGGCTCTGGGTCCTGAGCATCACTGCTACGTCTCTGGGGCTTGGGGAGAGACCAGGCTGGACAGTGTGGAGACTTCATCCAGTGTGGGCTTTGAAGTCTACAGGACTCCAGGACTCTGTCACATGGAGTTCCCTACCCACCCTCACAAAATTCTGCTGCTTATTGAAGATGCTAGAACCACAGCGACCTCTGATGTTGTTGGTAGTTGGCACCTAGCTGGGCTTGAGGTTCAGTGACCTGCGAAGGTCAGCTGAGTCAGTGAGTGACTTCATGCCTGTCTCAGTCTCCCAGAAATAGCACTAGGGGCCTCCAAATTATAAGTCTCTTCTTCAAGTTTGTAAAACTGAGGCAGGGGGCTGCCCTCGTACCCAGGCCACCTTGGGTTTCCAGCCCAATGGTTAGTGACATGGGAGGTCTCAAGTTGCTGCCTTTGGGCCAGTGAGAGTCCAGGCTCTTGGCTTCCGCCAGAAATGGCTCTGAGAAGAATTTAGCAGTTCTGTAAACATCTGCTGGACTAGGGGGAAGCATCCTGGACCAGAAACTGAAAGATAGAAGGAAGCCTGGCTTTTCACTCCCTTTGAAATAAAACCTGTTTGCTAAGAGCTTCCCAAATCCAAGCCTCAGGAACCTGGGGCCTAAATTTAGATTGTCCATGGAAGGTCAACGGATCCCCTCAGGGCAGGGTCAGCCAGCAGCTGCTGGAGATAAACTTTGCTTTTCTGCAGACTCAGGCCTTTCTCTCACACAATTAATGGGATCCTGTGCCACTTCCCCTGGGAAGGCAGAACAATAGCTATCAGGAGCAGGTGGCCTGCCTGGCAATCCCCCTGCGAAAGACTGGGATTCATGTCCCCATATTGTCCCAGACTCCCTGGTCCTGGCTCCCTGCTGCGCTCTAGCCGTACTGACCTTCCCCGACTCCAGGATCAGATCCCTTCGGAGCCTTGTCCTACCTTGAGGGCAATTTATTTAGCTTTATTTTATTGACAAGTGATGGGACTTGCTAAGCAAGTGCTTTTCTCCTGAGCTGCCTTGCCCAGACCCAAGTGCACATGTACACCAGGACCCGGCTGCTCCCTGGGAACTTCTTCCTGGAATTCTGCTGAGACGTTCTTCGTGGAGCCCTTTGCGGCTTTCCTTCCTACCTGCATGTGCTGTGTGTTCTGGTGGAGACGGTGCCCAGGGCACAACAAATTACCAAGGAAGAAAAGCACTTTTCTTGGGTCTGGGATGGGTCACTTGGACCACCTTCAGCCTCAGAGGAGGCTTGAGGAAGCAAGGTGAGCCCTAACTGCCCCTTTATGGAGTGGTTCTGGTCCCGCTGCATGCTGGGGGATATGAAGGATGAGGTTCCACCGCCAACTCCTAGAAATACTGTGAGGCTGTTACCAAAGGTATGTGAACTTGCTGGGACCACGCTGGGTGCCAGGCTGGGGACATTACCAAAATGGTGGAGAGGAGGGCAGGCAAGAAGGGGGGCAGCATATCTTGCTGTTTGCAACCCCAACTAGGTGAAAGCAGCAAGCTGCCTCTTGTCTGGAACAAATGGATGGCCATGATCACTGTGTTGAGACTCGCTACACTGTTAGGAAAGCCAACAGGCTTGGACCTTTAGGACTTGGATATAGGGAGGTGTCCATCAGGTGTATCCATCAGTGCAACCTTGCAGAACAGCAAGGCAGACAGATCGACAGATTGATGGACAGACAGACAGAGAAGTCGTGAGCAAAAGGTAGACCTACAGGAAGATGGATCTGATCAATGTGTGGAGTGTGTGCTCCTAGGCACATGGTCAGTCCAAAGCACTCACAGCCACCTAAGTCTAGGCTGCTCCCAGAATCCAGTTCTTTGTCAATGGGCAATGAGAGCCATAGAGGATTGTAGATGAGGGCCTGCAGGAGTTGCCTTGTTGGGCGGTCTGAATTGTCTTCAGTAGTTGCTCCAGGAAGATGACATGGAGCTCAAAGGGAGGGGACTGGCAAAACGCATTTTCCTGGCCTGGAGCCAGGAAGTAGGATTGAGAAGGGGAGCCTTGGGGTTCACACTCACTGGGCAGTGGAGAGGGTCTGCAGAAAGGCAGGGAAGGGTTTGCAGAAGGTGGAAGGCAGAAAACTGTGTATGGTGGCTGGAGGGAGCCATCCTATCCATCTGGAGAGTTGGCTGGGGACAGGAAGGGTGTGTATGTGAGGTTCTCCCTGCACCAAGGCCTGGCACCTTGTCCTAAGCATCTTTCCATGTGGGGTGAAGCAGGCACTGGGCTGGCTCCATTGACCTCTCACTCAGGGGCATCTCTGGAAGGAAGTTGGGGCCCAGAAGGGAGAGATTTACCAAAATTCCCACATCTGTGACTGTTCTCAACAATGCCATCGTTTCTCTATAGAGGCCCTGAGTTCTTTTGCGCAGAGGAAAATAACAAAACAAAACCCCAAACACAACAACGACAAAAAGCCCATCCGGAGTCTGGGGCTCGTTGGAAACAAAGAGAATGGGGAGGCGAATGCTGGAAAGCGGCTGGTGCCCTAGTTGGGCTGTTGGCTGTGGGGCCGAGTGCCCCCACCTGAGCCTCAGGGACCCAGAGAGTCCAACCCAGTGTACCTTTCAAGAAATGGCTGGGCCATTGTGCAGAAGAATGCCCGGAAATCCCGCGACTCCCTCCTCCAGCGAGGATGGGGCTCTTCCTCCTAGCCAGGAAACTCCAAGTTGGCTTCCGGAGGGTGGCCTGGGGGCTGGGGTGGCAAAGTACCACAGATGCTTGAAGGACAACAAGGCATAGCCTCTTTATGCCCCTGTGTGTCTCTGCTATGCTGGGATCACAGTCTATGTGCTGGAGGAGACTGGGGACTGAGTGGTGCTGCCTGACGCACTGGACCTCGGAGGACGGAGGCAGGCAGCATCACAGAAGAGAAAGCACAGGCCCTTGCACTTTGTATCAGACCCGAGGCTCCAGGGAAGGAGTGAGTGTAGACAGTGGTTGGGCAGGATCTTGGAAGAAGTTATATATAATATAATTAAGGGAGTGACCTTAATTACACAGGCTTGCCTAGCATCTCTGCTTGGTGTGCAGGGACAAAGAGTCTAGAAGTTTGTTTCACCTGTGCAGAGGGGCTCCGGGAACCTCCATGACAAGCCTTTGCTAGAAGGGGTCGGAATGATCTGGGGTGTAGCGCGTGGAAATGGTTGGTGTAGGCTAGAGGTCATGCAATTAAAGTGGAGAGACGGGGCACGCAGATCACCTGTGAACCAGCCAAGGAGAGCCCCCATTTGGACAGAAACCGGTAGGGTTTCAAACAGCTGCCCTACTGGAAGTGCTGGGGGTCGAATGGGACTTGTCCTGCGCTCTGTGGTTTCAATTGTAACTGCCAAGGGGTCCGCGATTGGCTGTAGGCCGAAGGTCTGCTCATGGATTGGCTGGTCTGGCTCGGGGGCTGCGCCCTGGGGGCAGAGACCGCCCTCCCCAACCCCCAGACTTCAAATAAGAAATCCCCAACAACAGGCACTGAAGAACAGAGCTGGTGTTGGGGATACTCCCTTCTGGTCCATTTCAGGAGACTCCGAAACAGGCATCACAGAACCAGCTAGTTGAGCGCACAGCCCAAGAGTCAAGCGCACCCAGACGCCCCAGACGATCGTTCAATCTTTAGCCATGGGGTCCGCAGCGTTGGAAATTCTGGGTCTGGTGCTGTGCCTGGTAGGTTGGGTGGGCTTGATCCTGGCGTGTGGGCTGCCCATGTGGCAGGTGACTGCCTTCCTGGACCACAACATCGTGACGGCGCAGACGACTTGGAAGGGGCTGTGGATGTCGTGCGTGGTGCAGAGTACAGGACACATGCAGTGCAAGGTGTATGAGTCTGTGCTGGCGCTGAGTGCCGAGATACAGGCAGCTCGGGCACTCACCGTGGGCGCTGTACTGCTGGCTCTGGTGGCCCTCTTTGTTACCTTGACCGGCGCGCAATGCACCACCTGCGTAGCCCCGGGCCCAGTGAAGGCACGCGTGGCACTCACGGGCGGAGCGCTTTACGCGCTGTGCGGGCTGTTGGCGCTGGTGCCGCTCTGCTGGTTCGCCAACATTGTGGTCCGCGAGTTCTACGATCCGGCAGTGCCGGTGTCTCAGAAGTACGAGTTGGGCGCGGCGCTGTACATCGGATGGGCGGCCTCCGCTCTGCTCATGTGCGGCGGCGGCCTCGTGTGCTGCGGGGCTTGGGTCTGCTCCGGCCGCCCGGAGTTCAGCTTCCCGGTCAAGTACTCGGCACCGCGGCGGCCCGCAGCCAATGGCGAATACGACAAGAAGAACTACGTCTAAGAGCGGGAGGCACGGCGGGGCCCTTCCCGCAGCCAAGCCCGTGATCGGAGGGACCGACGCGGGAAGCCGCACGTGGATGGCAACCACCACTGGTTTGCGCATCGCAGACTCCGAGACAAGTCAGGCTGGGTTCCGGCCAGGCTTTTCCGCGCCCAGAGAGTCCGCTGACCGTCACCATCTAGACTCTCTTCAGAACAGACACTTGTGAGGACTTGACCGACCTCATTTTCTTTGCGCAGTTGGCCGCGGCATGGATGCGGCTCTCGGATTTCATCGGTGAAGCAGACACTAAACTGCAGCTGACAGTTTCTATTGAGCAGTTCTGGATGCTGCCTTAATGTCCAGTAGCTCCTACTGACCTGAAAGGGCAGCTGGAGAACCCCAGGCCCGCAGACTGGGCTGCCAGAGGCATGTGCTATAAAGGGCATTTTCCTTGTTAGTGAAGAGGAGCCCATTGAACCAAAGGACTTGGTCTGAACCTCGTCTCACTCCAGTACTCCCCCAACGGGAGCGCCTGTAGGTACCAGAGCCTTAGAGGGGCTGCCCTCCTCGCAGCTTGGGGGTGGGGCGGGGCGGGCAAGAATTTGCTTAGTAAATGGTTTGAACACTGTCAACCGTGTCCTGTCCTCTGTCCAGCTAGCCACTCCCTGTGCCCAGCACCGCTATTCACCCAATCACCCATCAACCTCCTCAAAGTCTCCCACGGAGATTTCTCCAGTCTTCAACTAGGAGATGCAGTTAGACTTGCAAGAAGCTAAGAATGTGGACAGAAAATCCCAGGGCAAGAGCTGGATTCAGGCTGGGATAGATGGGGGAAAGCTGACTCCAGGAGAGGATCCAGCTGGAACCTCACATCATGGAAATGGACTGGATGGTAGGAAATGCTGACGGTAGGAAGCTAGCTAACCAGCAAGACTGGTCCAAAGCGCATTTCCTCCTAGTGCTTGCTCAGTTCCAAGCACCACGAAGTGGCCACAGGCAACTTTACACAGCCGGCACTTCCCTCGTGTGTGTGTGTGTGTGTGTGTGTGTGTGTGTGTGAGCTAGGGTGAATCAAAGATGTCACTGGTCCTCAGTTGACTGCAGTGCTTAACTGTTAAATGGGAGGAGAGGCACTTGCTCAGAGAATCTGGGCCTGACTCCAGCTCTTTGTTCCAGCCACTCTGGTTAGTGCAGCTCTACACAGGGTCTAGTTATGCTGTTGGCAATGCAACTGTGTTGGCAACCACAGGGGATCTGGGGTGTGACTATCCTGGGAGAAAGAGGGTGAGGGGCCAGAATTTGGAAAAAGATCCCAGAAGGGAAAGGCAAGTAAAGCCACCAGAGAGACAGAGAGAAAGACAGAGGAAGGGAGGGAGGGGGAGAGAAAGGAAGTGTGTGTGTGTGTGTGTGTGTGTGTGTGTGTGTGTTCTGCACAAGCGAACAAACTTATTGTTTCTCCCTATTCGGGTAGTTTTACCTTTTGCTAAAGGATCAGGAACAGGAGTAGATGGAGGAGGAGGAGGCTGCAATGAAGCCCAGCCGTACTAAGCCCTGAGAGCAGGAAGACTTGGCATCTGCCTCCACCCTGGCCTCCACATTCATTACCAAGTCTTTCAGGCCTGGCTGGGTTCAACACTGAGAGGATGGGGATTAATCCTAAGGATATGAGCCTAGAGAGGCTCAGGAGAAATTCTGGAGCTGGGGACAGAGAAGGCAAGGATGGAACTTACGAGGAGGCTGACTTCCCAGTGGCCTGAGCCCCAGTGAGACAGTGTCTGTGGAAACCTCACTGGACCAATTTGAACTTAGCCTAACAGACACATGTGCAGGAGGGAACAAGCACAGTCCCAAGCTTGGGGACACATGATCCTAGAGCTGGCCCTGTGCCTTAGCTGGCCCACTTGGCTGGTGGTGTACTCTTCCCACAGTGGTGTTTACTCAGCACAGAGTATGGGAACAGAGCTGCTCCACCTGAGTTTTCCGAATGGCCAGGGTGGCCGTATGAAAGTAGTCAGCCGGGGGGGGGGGGGGCACTGCTAGCCACCAGCAGTTGGTTGGGAGAGAGGAGCCCGTCCTCACTCAGCTCCCGTTGTAGTCCCTCATTTCCCCAAAGTAGCCTGGCCATTCGGGGCCCCTCTTCTAGACCACTTTGTGGGCTTCTCACCACTGACTTAAAATTACCATCAGTACTTGGAGTAAGAGGGAGATGGCTTAGGCTACATAGTGAGATCCTGTTTCAAAACCAAAACTGAAAAAAAAAATGAGAAGCCTACCCAAACAACTCCTTCTAGGACTGTGTGCTATGCTGCCTTCCTCAGGAGCTCAGATGCCCACAAATGGGTATCTCCTCCTACCATGTTTGCTTCTGTAGTACCTATGTGCCCAGGCAGTAACTAGCCCCTCTTCCCCTTTCCACCTCTCCAGGGACAATGACAGTTGGCTCTACCATTCTAGCTCCACCTTAGCTGAAATGTTCTGTGAGTGGGTGTGAGCAAGGTTGACAGGAGCCTGGGGCAGTGTTTCCCTTCAGGCACTGCTCGGCAGTCAGCCCTCCCTGATCTGAGGCCTTCCCCTATACTTTCCCATTAGCAAAGCAGTGTGTCCCTGCCTACCGGCAGGGTCAAAGCATATGAGCAGGCCCTGCATGCAGGCAGGGAGGGCCAAGGCATATGAGCAGGCCCTGCATGC